GTTCGTCTTTTTCTGCAGGGGTTCGACAAGCAAGAGGTCAAGCTGCAGCAGGTGAGTCGGTTTGGCTCTTAGATGCATTTTCACTGAGGATAAACAAAATGCCCTCCTCTTAGATCATCATCGACGCGTTCCGCCACTGTGGGATCTCCAGCAAGCTGGACGGAACGGAGAACCACCTGGTGATGTCTCACCTGCGCTCCAGGAGCACCACCGATGTCTCCGAGGACATGTCCCTCGGGGGGACCACAGGCGACAACACGCGCCTGCTTCGGAAGGCTCCAGAGGAGGAGGAGGAGGAGGAGGAGGAGGAGGAGGAGGAGGAGGAGGAGGAGGAGGCGATGCAGGCGGAGGGCGTGCGGGAGGTGGCCGTGGCAACTGGCCTGGAGGTGCTGTACCAGGAGACCCCCAACTACCGCAGAGCGGCGGCCGAGGCTGACCGCATGATCGAGCCAAGGGAGACGGCTAGGCATGCCTGGCGAGTGCCAGACCTGGGCGTAGAGCCTGTTGCTAGTGCTGCAGAGGAGGCGGTTACTGAGGGGGGTTAGGTAGAAGTAGGGATTCATGAATGTATGGATGTACCCCCCTAAAGTAGTGTAGGCTCGTTTAGAAGACACCCCCTGTTTATAAGAAAACCCCTAAACCCCGGTTCTGATTATAAGACATATATGTCTTATCTCGTACACACAAATAGGTGTCGTATAAAAAGGCTTGCCTGTTTATAAGAGACACCCGTATAGTAGACAACCCCTGTCTACTATTCAACACTGTCTTATATCCGGGCGATGACGGTAGGCAACTCCTCAGGGCGGATCAAATAGTCCAACCATTGAGACAGGTGGTCATATCACAAGACCAGTCAAGAAAACCAACAGGGCAAGAGAAGAAACTCAAGGTGGTACGACTAGCTAACCTTTGGGAAAAACGACCACAAGGCCAGTTCAAGGGTTTATATTGTTGAGATAATATCGAGACTTGTGCACTTCAAGGAATTCGTGTAGTGTAGTTAGTACAGTAAAAGTACCGATAGGCTGACGTCAGCAAAGCGCTACGCGCTCTAGGATGACGTCAGCAGTAGCTGTAGGTATCGCGAATAGTCACGTACCGTTTCAGGCTAATAGGTACATTAAGCGAATAGGTACTTTATCCTAGTATATATTCTGTATGTTTGTCATTTCTTAATATACTTGATTACAGAGATATTAATCCTGTTACAAGTCACTCATATAAGACTTCCACTGCTACAGGAAGCTACTATCCTAAGACTACGATCCTATTCAGACAGCTTAAATTCTAACATGGTATGAGAGCAAGTTAGGATTATAACAGCTTCCACCTGCCTACTCTACAACTATGTCTGGATCTCCAAGGTCCAACAATGGCTATTCTGTTACGAGCCCATCACGCCCAACAGCGTCTCCAGCTGCTGATAATTCACATCTGCAGCAACAACAACAACAATATCAGCAACAACCGATGTACGGCATGCCATTGAGCAATCAGCCTGTACACGCAACTAGAGCAGCGGCATCATCGACAGCAGCCGCAGCAATAGCAGCATCAGCAGCCACAACAGCTGCAGCTGTAGTCACTGGTTCTTCTAGTCAACCGGGACAACAGTCCAACTTCGTACCGACTGGACCTTACCAATATCAAGGTGCTTACCAGCCAGCAAATCTTCAACAACGTGTTAATGCTGCCGTCTTGTCGCTTAACCAGATGTTTCCAACTCCTATGAGCATTGATGGCTCCAGTTATCAGCGTGGTCAGATGCCACAAGGAAGTGACGGGTCGAACAACTCCTTCTCTTTTGGTCCTGCTGGACAAGGACAACAAACACAACAAGGGTCACAGGTGCCATCACTTTATCAGCTACAATCAGCTGACTGTACCGGAAATTATATTCCTGCTTCTGCAAATCCAACATAAATTAAAACGACAACGCCTTTTAACGGTCAAGACTTTTATACCTGGAGCTTTGAGTTTGAGCTTCTTGTTCAGACCGCGGGGTTCTGGCAGCTGTATGACGGCACAGCACCTTTTCCATCTCACGGGTCACCACTTCAACAAGCCACTTTTCGATCGGCGTCGCTGACTGCATACACAGTTCTCGTTCGTAATCTGACACCGACTGAACAGCTCGGAATTCGTTCTTTTCGTACCAGTGCCGCTCCTGCTGAAGCAGCTTGGTTGTACCTGCAAGGGGTTCACATGGCAAAGGACACTGTCAACCAGAGTAAAATTTTGACACAGCTGTCAAATATACAGATGATAAACGGCGAGAAGGTGACGCAGTATATCAACCGCGCTCGAAATTTGCGTGATCAACTTCAAAAGTGTGGAGGGTACTTCCCCGACGCTATGTTTCACACGGTGCTACTCGCGGGTCTTGGACCAGAGTGGCGACAGTGTCGCTCTATACTTCGGATGCAAGCACAGTTGTCCGAGGGGGCACTCTGTGCCGCTCTCATCGCCGAGCAGCAGGATATGGACCTGCACAACGCTCGAGGAGGGAAAAAGATGGTAAACAATACAGTCAGCTTTTATTCCAATCCACGTCACAAGCCCGTTTGTTCTTTTTGTCGAAAAACAGGACACACTATTGATACCTGCTGGTCGAAAGACAAACCATCTTGGAAGCGGTCTGCATCGAAACATACCAAAGATTCTTCAAGTGAAGCTGAGAAGCCGGAAGCTGAGAAACCGGATGCTACGAAGCTGAATTCTGCGAAGCCGGACCCTGCGAAGACACAGTCAAAGCAAGTTATTACCTGCATGACATCAGTTTCAACGGTTTATGATCCTGATGCTGAAGAGCGGATTCACAACCGGTTCAACGACGAACTCAACACACCGATTCCACCTGAGGTCTATGCAAATCTTGCACATACTATTGCAGGTCCCAATACTTGGTATCTCGACAGTTGCTGCGGTCAGCACATGTGTTCGTCAGAGACGCGTTTCATTGTGAATCAACGCCGTCTGCAGAATCCCGTTGTCGTCACAGTCGCCAATAACCAACGGCTTACAGCTCACTGGATGGGAAGTATCGTTCTGGACTCAGTTGAAGAAGACTTCAGTCTTCACCTGAACGAAGTTCTTCTGGTCCCTCGACTTGGCTTCAACCTCATGTCATCTGCACAGCTCATAAAGAACGGAATTACACTTCTCGGTGAACCTGGGAAATTCACTCTGAAGTACGGCGACAAGAAACTCGGCACGGCAGTTGAGCAAAACGGTGTTTTCGTTTTGAACTTCATACCTGAGCGCACCACTGCCGACTCTGATAACATTCTCTCGCTTGGTCCTTGGGAGCATCGCGACGACATTGATTACACCGACGATACAGTTCCACGTGAGGGAGTTGTCCCGACGTCTTCAACCACGGCTGCCGCCGTCATGTTGACCTTCGACGATCAAGGCTTGAATGATGTTCAATCCTCCCGGGAGTACATGGCTGCTGTTGAAGGTTGGGGTGATCCGACGAACATGCCGACTAATGACGACATCTGGGGGGCTGACGAACCAGATGAAACAACTTGGGGCGAAACGCCTGCTGAACGCGATGATCGTCTCCTCGCTGAAGCTGAGCAACGCGTCGCTGATATGGAGATTCTTGACTCGGGTCGTCTCGTTGGAGTTGAACCTGTACCTGCAGCATCCGATCAAGAAAGCGGCGAGTTAGTACTTGCTCCAGGCGAGTACGTGGATGTTGAGGTTCGTATTCCACCACCAAATCTTACTCGTTACGTCGCACCTGCTTTCGATCAGATCCGCTCCGATGGTCATCAGCTTCTGTTGTCGTTCTTCGCTAACGCCGAGTATTACCTGCGCGCACAAGGTCACAAAGCCACGGGAGAAACATGGCATAAGCGACTTGGTCATCCGTCGCAGACTACGCTAAACAACACGATCAAGGCTGCAGTGCTTGACAAAAATTCGTTACTCTTACCGAGCGGTCTCGAACTGAAGCCGGTGAATCGCCCGGCACCCTGCACCATCTGCCCTACGGCGAACCTACCGCACGAGCCGTTCCCGACTCATTTCCCTGGAGCTGAAGATTATCACCTGATGGATAAGGTTTACAGCGATATACTCAATTTACCTGCGGATGGTTTCAACGGCGAGCGCTACGTTATCACATTTACAGAAGCTTCTATTCGTTACGTTTGGACTGGAAACATGATTAACCGTTTTCTTGCGTTTACAGCTTTCCGCACCTGGCTTCCTCTCGCCGAACGAGAGTCTGATACTAAGCTAAAGGCGTTTCAGTGTGACGGCGCCGGCGAGTATCGCAGTAACGAATTCACGACCTATCTGCAAGAACGCGGGATAAGACGACTTTTTTCGTTGCCTCACGCTCATCAGCAGAGTGGCGTAGCTGAGCGGCTCAACAGGACTCTGCAAGAGAAGATGCGAGCCCTTCTTTCCCAGGCTCAACTCGGCCCACTCTACTGGCCTTTCGCCATGGACCATGCAACGGTGTTGCACAATCTTCTTTCGTCCTCGGCCCTGCCCAACAACGCATCACCCTACTTGCTGTGGACGGGCAAGTTGGGTACCATTAAATTACTTCGTGTTCTCGGGTGTGTTGTTCAGTACCGTCCTCCTACCGCTCCGCTCGGGAAGTTCGACCAGCGTGCTAAGTGGGGGCTGCATCTCGGCATTGAAAAACAATATCTTGCCTGGCGTATCATGGATTACTGCAGTCGTCTCCTTGTTCCTGCTCGCGACTGTATTTTCTACGAGAATCTGACACTGCCCGTCTTCGAACAGCATCTTGCCATGCAGCACAACCCTGCCACGCTTTTCCACGGTGTTCGTTCGTTCGCTAGCGCCGACGCCGAACTTGCTGCCAGCGAAGAACCTGACCCCGACGGTGCACGTAAAGCTGTTCCCGACCCACCTGTCCCTGTCACGTCCTCCGGAATTCCGGAGTTTATTCCTCTTGCTGACGCGGCACCTGAGGATGTTCGCGATGTTTATCATACTTACCTCGTGGATGAACAGCGCCAACCAATGCCGGTGGTTTCCGATAGCAGCATCCGTGTCAACCCTGACGAAATTGGGGGGGCAAGTGGAGACCAGAATGATTCTGTCAATTTCGCAGGTCGCACCGACGATAATCCGCATTATCAGACCGGACTGCAAATTCTGGGACTCGCAGCAAGCGTACAGCACAGTTCTACAGTGAATTTGGAGCCGAAAACTGCCCAACAAGCTCTTTCAGGGCCTCATCGCGAAAAATGGCGTGAAGCGATGGATCGCGAACTGGCTGCCCTGGAGAAAAGGGAAACTTGGGATCTTATACCCATTGAAAAAACGGTAAACAAAAATGTTCTTACCGGTAAGTGGGTCTTCAGGGTGAAGACGAAAGCGGATGGTACTTACGAGAAACACAAGGCACGGTGGGTGGTTCGCGGTTTTGATCAGACTCATGGGATCGACTACACGCTTACCTTCGCTCCGGTCAGTCGACATACGAGTGTTCGACTCGTTCTCTGCGAAGCAGCCGCGAAGAATTTTCCACTTCGACAAATCGGTGTTT